CTCCAGCCTGCTCGCCCCCGGCCACCCCCACCCGCGCACCCTCCCTCTCCGCGTCCCGCCGACACCATCGTGTTCCAGTTGTTTTGCATTTAAATCGAACCTTAATTCGCGGAACGTTATTACGCGCCGTGTAACTCCGTTGCACGCGTGACGATCGGTTATCGGTCGCCGCCGTTATTCTTCGATCGGGAAATCAAAAACAGACAGGCCCTCGCTGGGAACAATTTTATCGGGCATATCGCGTATGATCAATTACACGGATATATATATGTATATATATATTTTTTTTTTGCTCTCGATACCGCACGATGGATTCCCCTAAAATGTCGAGCACGGTCGATTTAATTAGCGGTGAGGAAGTGTTTAAACCCCTGACGTATAATAATGAGACTCGTGGTAGAGATTTTTAGAATTTAGTGAAAGTTATTTGTTGTAGATTGGTAGAGGTGAACAATTTTGTCACGCTTAGTGATTTTATCTTCGAAATGAATTTCCGTTTGCAATAGAACATTTGTTTGTTCAGTCGCGAATTTTTTAGAGAAAAATTTGTTAGACCGATTTAGAACGTATCGAACCTTGATGTTCGGAAAGTTATGAAAGTTCGGGTGTATTTGGAGTAAGTCAAGCGTAATGCATTGCAATGTTCTTCGTGTTGAATTTCACTTTGAAGGGGTGAGAGTGTCCCTTGAAAAAATGCAGTTTTATAGACGCCAAAGAACAATGAATTTTTCGTTGTCTCTTGCCGTTTTCAAGATAACCCACGGGAGTGAAAAATTTGAATTTTTTCAACGGGTGGTTCTACCCTCTCGAAGTGAAATTCAGATCGAAAAGTTGCAATGTATTAGGCTTCACTTATTGTACTGACGCAAAGTTTCAAAATTTTTTGAACTTCCGGGTTGGATACCTTTCCTTGTTAGTCGCAAAGAAAATTGACTTAAGCGTCTGACCGTGACCGACTAATACTACTTCACACGTTGGAATTTGACGCTATTATTTGGCATTTCACAAAATGGAAGGAATATAATGTCAAATTATGTAATGGAGTCGCGTTATAATGTTGCTAAATGTTACCACTTTAGTAATGTTAGATAATTATTCAATATTGTTCTTTCAATCAATTAAATTTGTATTAAATCGTCGATAGTAAAAGCAGTGTTAACCATAAAATATAATAGTCCGTTTTTCATAAGGAGCACGGAAGCAATCAATTCGAGGAAGAAGAAAATTAAAAGAATATAAAAATATTCATATCAGCCGCGATATCATTCGTCGCGAGGCACGGCCATTTTATATACAACACTTCCAACCGCAATCTGCTTAATAATTAATTATAAAATAAATGTAAACAAATTATACGATCAATTTTTCATAGCTGAAATAAGAGGAAAGACAAAACTCAAAAAAGTCATTAATCAAAAAATATAAAAATTGAGATGAAGTTATTAAGTGGATGAAAAGAAACGTATGATATTAAATTAATTTTTGAAACCGGTTATTTGACCGGTTGCGATACGTTTAGTGTTAAAGTCAGAAAATTTCATGTATACGCTCTTTTCTTTCCACCTAAATATCGATCCTATCTGCTCGCACTCGTCCGTAAACTCCGCTATTCCGCAAGACGTGTGCTTACCTTTCGGCTCTGGGTTTCCAAGTTCATTGATCGAGGTAGAGGATATTTTCGTACGTCGCCAGGACGTAAATGAAATCCGGGAAACGTCGATCGTCCACGCGACGAATCATCGAGACGAGAATCGAATTAAATAATAATTAAATATTATTTAGCACGTAAATTGTGATTACCGTAAAAATTTCGAGCGTTTTATATATCATTTTATAAACAGTTATTCACACGTTGACTGCTATGAAAATGTTGAGTGTTTTGTATAACACTATTTGTTCTGTTATTATTAGAATTAATCATTAATGATTTGGTGTCAGTTTTTAAGTTACTCCATTAGTTAATTATTTATGTTACTGAATATTTTAATTGGACATCAGTTTCCTTCTTGTAACTGTTTGCGAGTAATTTGGAAGCTCCGGTCATTGGCGACCACTGTGGCGGTCAGCGTGTTAATCATTTCGTATTACAATTCATACGTTGCACTGTTGTCTAGTTACTCATTCTATTAACGCTTCGTGGTCGTAAGACGAATTATGGGGGACAGAACAATTCCACCGTTCACGTCGATTAAAATGTAGAATAATAAATTGTAAATGAAAATGATTGAATTAAATCAATTATTATCAAAATAATGTATGTAGAATAAAAATCTAATACTGTATTAAATTTGTCTAAGATTTGAAAACAAGTCATACACTTCGTTTATACATAAAATCAGTATGATCGCAAAAGGTTAACATTAAACACACCACGACTGATAAAATGAGCGATTTTATAATTTGATTTAAATTTCTGTATGTTTTTTCATTCGTTCAACATCAATACCTATATTCTTTCCGTTAAGAAAAATTGATCGTCTAACTTGTTCACCTTTATTTTGTAACCAGTTATTTGACTGGTTACACTAAAATCACGCATATACAAAGTGCCGACATGTTTAGTGTTATGTCTATTCGACAATTGTTCAATTATCTTACATACACGTAATTGTTTTCGATCAATTTGTTAGTACTGGTCATCGATGGTTATTAGGCAATCAACATGGTAATGCTTTCATCGATCATCGATAGTTACTAGGGAAACAACGCGTTAATATTTTCGTCGGTCATCGATGATTACCGAACAGTCAACATGTTAATATTTTCGTCGGTCATCAATGTTTATCAACCAATCACAAAGTGTCAACCTATTAACCGTGGAAATTAGTTCGAAAAACCTCTCGTTTTGCGCGCAATAAAATGAAAATATTAGTACTTAACATTTTCATCAGTTATCGATGTTTATTAGGCACTCGACGTATTAATATTTTCGTCGGTGATGCACCAGCCGTTTTCCACAGGATTTCAATAATAGACCGAGCATTGTTTCGTTCAATATTAGTCCCGATCAAATATTTTGTGTTTGCCGAACAACGGAACCGTTTCAATCGGAGCGATCGTTATTAAATTCTTGAGCGATCCGCTTTGCCGGAAGAAATCTATGTGTTTTCCACTTTGTTCTCGTCCAAACACGATTCGGTTTACGCGTTCGATAAAAATCATTGTCGAAGTTCACAGCAGAATTTATATTCCCCTCCCTCCCCTTCCAATAAGCGGCGCGAAAAGTGACAAGCGATTAATAGCAGCGGGAACTTCTTACTTTGAAAGTCGGCCCGCCGCGCCGGTGTCCCCCTTTCATTCCCAACTGCGGAATCGATACATACATTAGCCTTATTAATGTTTTCCTTGAACTTCGCTCTCAACGGTGACTAGAGTTCGCGACGTTCGCGAAGCTTCAATTTAACCCTTCCGGGAGGAACGTCGGCATTTCGGCGAAATCAAATTTTTGTATTTGACTTATTATAATATTGAAAACAAAGTAATTTCTGCGATCTCGTAGCTTCTATGAGATACTTGGAATACTTTAACAAATGAAAAATATAAATCAACTGCAACTGTTTCTTAACACATTGCGTACTGGTAACGAGAAATCTTGTTTTTATATGAAGGCACTTAGCTATGCAACTCTGTTAATTGCCATACAATTTTAAAAAAACATTAAATTTGATTCGAATTGATTGTTCATTTAGAATATATTACATAACAATATGGTATCTGAGTTTTTGTATGTGTAGTGATATATGTTGATCTCACTGAAAATTACCATCCAAACAATTCAGTTTTCTGAAAATTAACTGGTACGCAATGTGTTAAGCTTTAACATATTGTTGACCGGCAATTTTACGCAGCAGGTATCCTGTGTCACCGGTTATTATTCTATAATTAAATTTGAAAATGAAACAATCTAAACAAACTTCAACGAACCAAAATTTACCTTAGGGCAAAGGGTGTATTCAATTTTATATTGTATATTTTGAAAATTTGTGCAACTGTGATTATTTTTATACAGCATATTTTTTCACGCGAATTATCTTTGTTAATTATATATTAATTGATCTATTGTATAAAGACAGAATTGAGAGTAATTGGAAATAATTTTCCGACAGTTTTGTGGCAGCAAAAGCAAATACGGTTCAATATAAAAATAAAAATGAAATACAATAAAACACTCGAAATGATTTACGACGAACTAAACGAGAAGCAATGGACAGATGGTAGCAAAAGCAACGAATTGATTCGTTCTCTTCGATTAACAGGTTGACACGACGACCACCGAATCGATAGCTACAAAATTCCCACGAAACCAATCGAATTTATTCGATAGAACAGGAAATAAAACGATAAGATTCACTATTTCAATCATGCCATCAACCATCTCCTGGAATAATTCAATAACTCAATGAAAATCACAAAAATCCACCGCGAACTGCAAAACAAAAACATTCACCGAAACACGACGCGACGGTCGATCACTCGAAATTTCCCATGGAACACCACCGATCCCGACAACTGTGAACAAATCACTCCTAGCGATCTATAACAAGCAGAAAAGTAAACAAGACAGCCGAAAGGTCTCGTTCCCGCAGCGTTCGTTCAAATTTCCCCGGAAATCCACGCTTCCCCATATAGCTGGCCGAGCGTGGGCGTTAAACGTTTCATGAAAATTGCACGAAACCTTGCACACGGAACATCCACGTTTCCATTTCTTGGCGAACGTGATCCCTCGCCGAAGAAAACGAAACAATCACACCGACGATGCACGGTCCTCTCCTCAACCCGACCAAACCTGACGCACATTGTAACGCACACTGTTTTGTTGCTTGGATATCTGACAAAATACGAAAACTGCAACAGGCAACAACGCATACTCACATGCTCTCAGCCCATTTCTGCCAGACAAATAGTGTACAACCACATTTCAGCGTAACGCACGTCATTACTGGTGGCGCAGCGAACAATGCTTATTGCTAACCTTTCACCTCTGGATGAAGAATTAACTCGTCATCCAAGTTCAGTCTCGTTACTCAGCTCGTCGTTTCCGTGTTCCTCCGATAAACAATCGTACTCCGTCTAGCTGCATCCGTGTTAATAACGCGTAATATCGAAGCTTCGTCCAGTGTTCACTATATAAATTGAACTCGGGTCGTTTAGAAAATACCCGGTCGAACGTTAACAGAATTTACACAGAACTCAGGCCATAATAAGCAAAATAGAATATAAAAAAAAAACTAGAATGAATCTCATCAGAAATGAGGGTGGCGGTTAGAAATCAGCCTGGCAACGTTGACGCTATCGGCCCGACGAGCGGCCCCGCGAGTGCACGAAAAGGAAAGAATATCCGCCACGAGGTCACGTCGCGCACCCCTACACACCCCTTTCCGTTACAATGCACGCGCATTTACGTAGGTGCGCGTGCACACATTCCGCTCCGGCTCGGCCGTGCGGGTATCGTGTCGCGTCGCATTCGTAATCACCCTATTTCACGGTTAATCAGCCGAGAGGCCGGAAGACCGGCGCGGGCCGCGGGGGTGGTGTCGGGATCAGGAGAGTAGAAAAACCGGGGGACAAAAAGGAAGAGAGGAACCCGGAAGAAGCGAGCCAGTTTCGCTGGGAAGGAGCAAAACTAGAACCAAGAAGAGAAGAGGCAAACGGACCAGAAGGAAGATGGAACACACAGCGGCACGGAGATCATGGACACGAATGAAACGAATACAGAACGAAGAAACGCGAAGACAGAAAGGAAGACGAGACACACGATAGGGGATGCAAAAGGCGTGCAAAACGATAGACAGCCGAATCGAACAGGGGTCGACGCGGTTCGGCCGCGTACGGGCGCGCAC